ATTGCAGGAAGGACTGCTGCTCTGAACAGAAACATCCTAATACCAAACAGCATTCGACTCAACACTCCTGCCACCACTTCTGTCACGTTCCAGCTCACCCAAAAAGAATCTGTGAAAACTTTCTGTTCTTCAAAACACTCAAAGTGTCAGTGTGATCTTCTGGTGTGGACGGACATGGCCTGTGTGTTGCATCACAAGGATACAGACACCAACTCTATGAAGCTCTCCAACCACGGTTGTTGTGCAAGAGGTTATTCTCCTACAAACTCTGATATTAAATATAAAACATTTAATTGATCTGAGGGAATTCAAGAATGGCAGTTCAGGACCAACATTCCCCTTAAATTCAATCAACCTGCATCAGATTTCACGCACTCATAAACATCAATCCCCTAAATGTGCCCGATTTGTTTCATCAAGATCAATGAATATTTCCCAGGGAAAACTGTGGAAATGTTGAAAAACGCTCTATATTGTAATATTAAAGAAAGTAAAAAAAATCCTGGATCCATGCCCTGATCTGTATCCCCACCAAAATGTAGTGTGTTCTTCCCTTTCCAATATCACATCCTTTTGCCAGATTTTGTGTTATTCCTTCCAGTAGTTTTTGTGTAATACTAACAAACAAACACCAGGGCACTAAGAGACTGAATACCTCTTGAATGTACGATACTTCAAATGAAAATTCCAGAGATCTTTGTTGAATTACTCATAACTCACGTCCATATTTTATGACGCCATATGACTTCATATTTGGGCCTTTAATCAAAAGGGTTGGGAAGCCCAGTCTTGTGGCCTACGTCACACGACACACAGGACAGTTAGTTAGGTGCGGTAAGAATTGTCACAATGCAACAACAATTACAACATTGCTCTATAATTGCATATGCTACAACAGTTTGAATGGAATTGGAAACACACCTCTCAAAGGAGCGTGCCTGAAAATGATTGAAGAACCTGTTGAACAGGAGTTTCAGTCTAACGCCATGATGTTTTCACACCTGCTTATAGAAGTAGTAAAGACACCAAAACAAACCAGTTTCGTATCCTCCGTGGTTCAGTCCCTGTGTCATCCTCCTTCTGTAAATGTGTCTAATGTGTACCTGCTGTCTAATGTTGAACCTGCAAAGCTAATAAACCACTGTCTTATCTGGTGCAAGGTTGGACACGGGTCATTTAACACAATCACTGTGACTGCTTCACATGACAACAGGCATTTACATTCTGATAGAGAGCACAGGAAAATAACACTTTCTAAAAATGATGTGTTAGAAATCACTTCAGAGCCACACACACACACACACACACACACACACTCACACACTCTCTCACACTCTCTCACACTCTCTCACACTCTCTCTCACACACACACACACACACACACACACACACACACACACACACACACACACACACACACACACACACACAGAGGGGATGGTAGATATTGGTGCTCACAGGAATACATCAACATGTTTAAAGAACGGTCTGCTGGTCACCTTGAGATCGAGCAGTAGCTTGTTAGCTGAAGTGCTTCAATAATTTCCCAAATTGGGATCAATAAAGAATTGGGATCAATAAAGAACATCTATCTATCTATCTATCTATCTATCTAACACTTTAAAGGAATTATTGAGCCCTTAATTTAATGTACGACAACAATCAGTTGGCTCATACAAGCCAAGACAGCTGTAGGGAAAGTATGGCAACAGGAAATCTTCCATCATCCACCACATTTACTTCTTATCTGGAGACGGAGACAGCTTCCCAGTTTAACAGTCCATTGTTATTTTGATATTACTGTCTTCTGCTCAAATGTCATTGACATAATAAAAAAAACCTAAAATAAATGAACCCACTAGTATAAGAAGATGTTGTCTATTTCAATCAATTAATAAAAATCCTGCCTGGTGATTTGGACCCAACTGTCTCCAGACATGTAACACTGCAGTACAGTAGTAACGTAGAGTCTGTGGTTCATACCTCATTAAAGATGTTCTGATACCTGCATCGAAAATACCTCTGCTACTGCTGAAGATACCGGCTCATCAGCAGGTACGCAAATCTACCTACCGATCCTACACCATGTCTTTAAAGTATATTGAGCTGCTTTCAGATCATTTTCATAGATTTTTCTGAGTTACTGTTTGTGAGAATGTTAATGTCTGATTCAGTAACTCTGGATCATCCATGATCAGAGAATACAGCAGGAAGATACATAAGAATAAAAATATCTCAGGATGAAAAGGAGGTGTCATACACGTAGAAGATTTCAGCAAAGATGTCAACTCGGAAAGACATTCAGGAGCTTGTGGTGATGAGACCAAAACATGTCAATTCTGCAGTGGAAGTTATACATCAACAGCAGGTGCCTCCCTTCACCTGAACACTTGTCCTGTTGTCTGACCAGGACAATCTCTTGCTGCGTTCTGCATATGTGAGAGGCGACCTCTGGAAAATGTTCAGACCCAATACTTTGATGTTCATACCTGAAAACCTCTTTAGTTTCACCGATGTATTTTCCCAGAAATCACCAAAACCAAGACCCAAATCAGATTTTACACTAAACTGCCACTGGTGAGTGATTTCCAGTATTGTAGCGTTAGCCACCGCTAGCTGAAATGTCAGTAATTTGTCAATAAGTCCCACAAGTAAAATAATGATGTGAACTGTAAGCAAGCGTTGTGACAACCACGTTGTGACAACCACGTTGTGACAACCACGTTGTGACAACACTAGCACTGGGCCAGGCGACAATGAAAGAAATAATTACTGTGATACAGGGTTAGTCACATACAGCTGTAACAATACAATATATACTGTATGTTGTTTTATTAGTCACTGGTATCAGTTCAGTTCTTGATATCAGCCAGTAAGTCCAGGTATCGGAATCAGTATCGGAAAGGGAAAAACTTTGTCTGAACATCTCTCGTCAACGTGACCTAAAAAGTAAATCGACTTCCATTTGACTTGGAGCGAGATGACAGACTTTGGAAGTGAGAGAAACAGCAGGAGAATCTGAGCTGAAAACCAAGTGGGAACAAAGGGAGCCGGGCAGATAATATTCTCACCATCCTCTCCTCCAACTCCTGTGTTCTGTGTTTATCTAACACGGAGGGGAGATGTTTACATTGGCTTGGTTAAACACAGACAGGCCCAATAGCCTTTGTTAATAATAAATAACCTAAACAGCCAGTCAGGGGACGTCCACGCTGCACGGAGGACTATGCTGCCAAAAAATGTCGACCACCGTTGTCCCACATCTGTCGGACGAGACACGTTCGCACAGAGTGAGTTCTGTCGAGAAAAGTTTATGGAGTGGGAAACCAGTCTGAGGCTTGAGGTGGAATTCAAACTGAGAGGCGTGCTATCTATCCGACCGCAGTTTATTTGTGATGTGGTCTATTTTAATAGATTCTCCGATGATTTGATGTGAGCAGCCTACAACCCTTTTGACCCTCCCATCGTAAACATAAAAATAAGCATTAGAGAGTGCACAGGCTGGTTGGATTCCCATGTGGAAGGAATAGAGTTGAGGGGAGTTTAGAGAAGAAAAAAATTTGATATATTTCATCCGACGGCAGTTGCAGAGAGAACCTGTGTGTGTGTGTGTGTGTGTGTGTTGGGGAGGGGATTTAAGGCAGGCAGAGCGATGAGGGGGCAGAGGAGATTGATCTGGGACAGTGTGGGAGAGAAAGAGGGAAGTGCAGAGAAAAAAGAGGGAGAGCGAGGCCTTGGGAATGAATGTGTGTGTGGGAGAGAAACGATACACCGCTGGACTGCCGGAAAAAGAAAGGCAGCCAGGAGGACGGCAGATCAATTCCTCCCCCGAGTCTCACAACAAACATACTCTTTTTTTTTGGTCTCTCTCTCCCTTTCTCTCTGCATAGCTCACCTCTGCTGCAGCCTGATATCGCCCCATCAGCACTCCATCCCTATCACTCTTATACCCTCCCCCTTTCTTTGTCTGCATGCTAGCACTGTATTCTCAGGCCTCCTGTGAACTATCTCCAGATTTAGCTGAGATTTGAATGGAGTTCCTGTTTCAACTCACTGCTGTGGTTACTTGGAGGGGAATATTAAGCCAGATGCCCCAGATGTGTCATCTCAACACAACGCAACACACATCTGGACACGGAGAGTTGATTATAGACTTTGTGATTATGGTGGAATACAAATTGAGAAGTATAGAATCATCAAAATGACCAGTGTATGTAATGAAGAGAGGAAAGAGGTCAACAACTCCGCATCACATACACACAAACTCTCCTCTACTCAAATTATATTTAACACACACACACTTTAATTTAGACTTTGGACAGCCAAACCGAAGCCTCATCCCTGACCTCAACCAGGACCAATTAATGGTTAACTCTAACCTTAACCTGGATTAACTTAACTTAACTTAACAACAAGTCACACACTATTAACAAGTCACACACTATTAAAGCTGGACAAGGTCCTACAGAGCACACAAACACATACACACTACTGCAGAGAGGAGGATGAATGACTCCTCTCAAAATTATTAATATAATTGCGGTAATCGTGCGTGAGTCTGTCTGTGTGTGAGTGTGTGTGAGGAGGGGGTCCTGCGTCAGTCTGGGGCAATGGTGAGGTCAGGAGCCTTTCCTCAGGGTTTGGCACAGCTTTGCTCCTATTCTTGCCATGTCAGCTCCCCAACACACCGTGTGTGTGTGTGTGTGTGTGTGTGTGTGTGTGTGTGTGTGTGTGTGTGTGTGTGTGCGTGTGTGTGTGTGTGTCTGTGTGTGTGTTTGTGTGTGTGTGTGTGTCTGTGTGTGTGTCGGTTGTTGTGGGGCTGATGCAGGCCTGCAGCTGCCCCGCTGACAGCTGGCAAAAGCATTTTGGAATTTCAAATCCTGTGCGCAATGGAAGCCGTGGCCATTTGGGGAACAACTTCAGAAAACCTCTCCCAGCAGAGTTTCTTCTTCTCAAACAGACACAGAGAGGCAGAGCCGTCCGGATTTTTAAAAACTCACCAGTAGCTGAAACCCCCTGCATCCTGCACAAACTTCTTCTCCGGGTCTTTTCTCTGCTCAGCGCGTCCTTTTTCCTCTCGGAGAAACTGGCAACAACAGATTCTCCTGCGTACGGAGCGTCTCCACTTCTCCTCCTTTCCTGTTGTCCCACAGAAAGTCCAGCGAGCCACACACACACACACACACTCAAGGACGTTTCATGGTTTCCCAACGGACTCCAGCGAGTTTTGCCCGGGTCATTTTTTTTGTGCCGAGTACCGAGCAGTGTAGTTTCCTCCGTGCGCTCCTCTCTCCTCCCTCCTGAAGAGAGAAGCCTCCTCTCTGAGCCGCTCGAGGAAAAAAAAAAGGAAATGCGCGCCCCCTCTGGTGCTGTGCGCGAGCACGATAACCTCATTCATTGGGTGAGTGAATGCTAGAATAAAAGATGTGTTGGAAAAAAAGGAAATAACTTAATAAATGCTATTCTTGGACTCATCACTTGACTGTAAAGGGATAGTTCACCCAAAAATGAAAATGCACTCATTATCTACTCATCACTATGGAGGGGTGGGTGAAGTCCACAAAACACTTTTTGGAGTTTCAGGGGTAAACAGCGTTGCAGCCGAAACCAATACAATTTGAGTAACTGGTGACCGGTTCTTCAAACGTAAAAAAAAAGGCAGAAAAAACCCATAAAAGCCTCCATGCTGCTCCTGTGGTGTCGTCCAAGTGTCCAGAAGCCCCGACATTCACATTAGACTCTTAACAGTTTCATTTACACCATGTTTTTAGCCTAAATGGTGAAGTAGTAATGTCACCATGCACCTGGCACGTTCCCTTAGTTTGAGTGTGCAAACGTGAACGTGGCTCCAGAAGAGGATACCGAGTTGCATTTGGACTAAAAACATGGTGTAAATGACGCTGTTTCATTCAAATTTGAATGTCAGGACTTCTGGACACTTGAATGACACCACAGGAGCAGTGTGGAGACATTTTATGTTTTTGTTTCTGTGGTTTTTTTACGTTTAAATAGGTGGTCACCATTTACTTCAATTATATTGGATTTGGCTGCAACGCTGTTCACCCCTGAAACTTTAAGTGTTTTGTGGGCTCAGACCCCTCGGCATAGTGGTGAGTAGATAATGAGTGAATTTTCATTTTTGCGTGAACTATCCCTTTAAAGCAGCTCCCACAGTCTAAGAGTCAGTTTTCTAACAGGCTACATTTGCAGCCATGATGTGCCCACTGGCACCGAGAGGCATGACATGACATGACAGTGTCACGTGAAGGCATGAAATGGATGAGGCCTAGTTCCAGAGATGGCTCTGCTTAGAAGAATCCACAGCTGCCTATTAGTGTGGGGGAAAGAGGCTGGAACTCAAATACTTCCATGTCGCTGCTCATCTTTTAATTGATTATCTTGAGTTCCCAGGCAGCTGAATGGAGGCTGTCAGCTGCCTCTGAGAATCACTGCAAACAGTAACAAGAAACTCTCAGCAGCAGGACAAGTATTGACTTTGCAGTTCACCATAGATATAAAATCACATTTCATTTCCTGGGGGGTATATAAGATTACATATATAAGGGCCACAACCTTTGGTGGTGGAAGTAACTAAGTACATTTATTCAAGTACTGCCAGGTTGTAAAGTGCCTAGAGATAATATATGTTGTAATTTGAAGCTATGCAAATAACATTGAATTGCTTTAAACTTCTACTCCACATTTCAAATTAAATACTTAAATAAATACTTAAATACTTAAATGAATGATATTTTTGGACTTTGACCTAAAACACTTTGGCTTGTTTTGAATATTTTCAGATTGTCTCTTTACTTTTAATTCAGTAAAGAATCCATGTGCTTCCTCCACCACTGCCAATCTGTATGTGTCAAGTAATAAAGTTTTCAAGCAGGAGCATGACTGTGTGGTCGCGAACCCTCGTTGCCCCTCTCTCTGTCTGTCTGTCCGTTCAGCCCTCCATCTTTTTCAAGCTCGTGTCGACTCAGCCACGCGTCATTAACCCCTTTTTGCTGCACGCTTTGCATCTGTCTCAGATCAACACAGACAACAGCAGGGTCTCTAATGGTAATGCCTCACTCCCTCCCTCCCTCCCTCCCCCCTGCCTGGCTGCTGTGCACACAAAGCCATTGACACTAACACCTCATGTATGAGCTGTTCTTTATCTGCTCTGATCACTTTATTTGCAAAACATGGCTTCCATTTTGCAGACCCAAGCAAAGACAAGAACAGAAAACACATCCTCCCTTTTTCACTTCAACCTTTTCCCCCCTTGCTTCAGAGAATAATTCTGAACATGTCAGAGCGGAGTCAGAAAGGCCAGGAGCTTTGTGGATGACTGAACTCGTGTTTTAAATAGACCAGGGGCCCAGTGCCCCTGTTAGTGCCTCCGAGTGCACGGAGCTGCCTGTCACTGTGTCTGGGGCATGCTGGTCCACAGAAAGCAGAACACCAAACAGCCCCTGGGATACATCCTCCCAGAAGGAACAACAGCATCCACAGAGGAGGAAGGAGGAAGAGAGAGAGGAAGGGAGTGAAAGGAGGAGGGGGAGAGAACAGAGACAGACAGAGCAGTATGAAAAAGTAAGACAATTAGGGACTAGAGGAGAAAGAAGACTGAGGCAGATGAGCAGTCAAGATGAAGGATAGGTGTGAACGTCGGCTCAGATACGTGTGAGATGAGTCTTTTGCACTTATCTGAAACCGTCTCGGTGCAAACGCCTGAATCATATGACTAATCACACTCTGTACTGAGGTGCCAGGTTTTACTCCTTCACTCCTTTTCAGGTGCAAATGAAAGCCTTCTCCTGCTCATTGAATCCACACTGATCTGCTGCTGTGGCACTTTTCTGAGTCTGCACCAGGAGTTTCGATAATCCTGACAGATCTGTGAGTCACGAGGACGCTCACACCCCACGTCCAGTGTCAGGACTGAGGAATGTTTTAATGCATCATGAGGCTGAGCTCACACTCCTCCACGGGCCATAAATGAGTTAACGTCCTCTGGAATCATTTCTGCTCCAGTAGAGCTGCTCAGGAACGTGTGTGTGTGTCTGTGTGTGTGTGTGTGTGTGTATGTGTGTGTGTGTGTGAAGTGAATCCATGTGAGGGCCTGTGGGGTGCTGAAGTTGTGGAGCTCCTCATCCACAGCAGCTGATCACGCTTCCTTTAGGCTCCACATGACTTTATCACATGACGGCGCCGGCTGATGGACATAAAGGAGACTCTTTGTAAGTGCACACACACATTCTGCTTCTGTTTTAAGACCAATGCTGAACCCACTGACAAAGTGCCCAGGAAGATGTCACCCTCTGTAGTAGAGGGACCCCAGGTGGTGGATTTTAACAGTGCATCATATGTGAGACAGCAGCCGTGCAATCCTGCATCCAGAGAACGAAACCACAGCACCTGTATATCAACAGGACTGATGTGGAGGAATGAACCCCACTGACCCATATTCCTCCTCTGCCAGTGGAGCCCTGGTTGGGGAGGATGTGAGAGGAGACTGGCACCAACAAAGGCTCCTCTGTGGCTACAGTGATGTCACTGGTTGTCAGGACATTGACGTCTTTTCATCGAAACTCTGACATTCAGGTTTAATCAGGCTGCCACATGTTAAAAAGCTGTTTCAATGGTTTTACTGCTCCAATCACAGCAGTGTGTGGGCGGGCGACATTATCTTTAAGATAAGATCTATTAATTTTTTATCACGGTAACTGGAACTCGGACTTATCTATGATTGTGAGGACATTCTAGTGCATTCAGTTGAAGGAGAAGTCCGCCAATATTACACACAAGATGTCTAGTTCATTAGTAATGAGGAGCACGGACCACCCTGTGTCTCTGTGTCTCTGTGGGGAGCTTCCAAACTTTAAAAAGCACAAGGAGGAACTACTGCATTCACCAAGAAGTATGTGGAAAGATTGTGGAGGAGCTCATCCAGTTTGAAAACATAAGATAAGATAAGAAGGACTTTATCGCCCCAGTGGGGAATTTAATTTGGACATCCCTGTCTGCCGTATAAAAACACAATCAAATACATTACATATTAATCGACATAAAAATAGATATTTAGCAAGTAAGATACCTAGATGACCAAAATTACCTCACCAAAGGATCATGAACTAGTGTGAGGCTGAAGTTTGTGCATATTATGTCTCACAATAATCAATAGAAACAACCTGCTACAATCCTGTGAACCAACCTTCTTAAGTCGTAACACCTCGAAATAAATGAAGTACATGGAACTAAGTTTTAACTTCAGACTAACAGTTATATGTACTTAACTTTTTCAAGGAGATCGGTTTACTATGGCTTTTCTAGGGTAAGATCAACCTGTCGGATTTTACAGTTGAAAAAGTACAATGAAATATGAAAACAACAACATCCACTTTAATGCAACACAGTGTTAAATAATGACTTTGGTATAACATCACGACAGATGGTGTTAATAAAGGGTTCTTGATCTCATCTGACGAGGCTGCATCAGAGAGAAAAGGGTGGAAACCACAGATACGAATCATGCAACTTTATCTGTGCGTTAGTGGAATATTTAATAATCTTTCTTTAGTTGCAGAGGGCTACTTTATTTTATCCTTATCACATTTCAAAGCTGAAATTATTTATTTGATATCATGTGTATCATTATAAATCACTCTTGGGCTATGAAATCAAGTTTTTTAGCAGTTTGTAAAAGAGCCCGTCAGCATTTTAAATCACGGCAGTATTAATTGGACAGAGCTCCGGTCTCCAGGGCCTAGACAGGAAGTGCTGGGTGCACCAAAGGTCAACAGGGCGGCTCTCAGTGCGTGGGCGTATCACCAGGAGGCAAGGGGGGAGAGAGGGAGAGAGGAGGAAAGGAAAAGAAATGGGAAACGGTGAAAGGCCGAAGAGGGAGAGGGAGGAGCAAGGTTTAAGCGACACAGCAGAGAACAGGCTGGAGAGAACGAGGGTCTGCAGCGGCGGGGGAGGAGGTGGTGGAAGTGTTTTTTGTGCATTGTGTGAAATGTGATCATGTCCTGGAGCTGTGCGCTCTGACAGCTGGGAAGTTCCCCCTGCCCCTGGCTTCCAGCTGGGAACACTCTGAGGAGACTCGGGGGCTGCAGACCATACACTTCCCTGGTTAACCCTTCATGTGCTGCTGCTGGGGGAGAGGAGCTATAAATAACAACACTGAAAACACCTTGAAACTTAAGTTTTTATTTTTTTATTTTTAGCCAGTATGACTACCTTTACACAGACATACCACCTCCTACTGGAAAACAAACAAAACACTTTCATAGGATTAATTCACCAATAATACATCAGACTTAACTCTCGTCTTTTCTTGTTTTTTCCTCCTTTCTCCTTGTTTTTTATTCTAACACCCTGAAAAAAAGATTTAAAATGTTTGTTTTCAATTCTGTGTAAAGGTCCCATGACTGAGAAACATGCATATGACATTTAGCTGTAATCAATATGCCACTAATCATAATGCACATTATTGATAAGAATACAGTACTGCATGACAATTCAAATAAATACCAACATACAGGTGAAGTCGTTATTTCATATAAAGATATCAAACCCTCATTATGGATCAATACTGAAACACAATATGACAATATCAAGTTCGCACAGCTAATTTTATTATGACAATGCTATCGCTTCCAGCAAACAGAAAACTTTTTCTTTTTTAAATGTAAAACTGTATCTGAATTGCACTTTTTTTTTTTAGCTTCTCGTCCTTATTGGTAACTTTAACGCCTCAACAAACAAGCATTGGCTATAATGGCACTATTCATGCTTGTTGATGCCCATTTTGTTTTCTGTTTCCTGAAAACACAATGCTCAAAGATGACGTAAAAAAAGATTCAAGAATAAAAAAACAAACAAACCAACAAACAAATCGGACGAAAAGAAAGGTAAAATGCGCCCGCTGCACATTTTTTCAACAATACTACTGATATCACATTACCTTCACCAAACAAAGCTAGAGATAAGTAGATGTTTCCACTAGTACACTGATCGACCCCAACACATTACAGATGCTTGGAGCATTTTGTTCAAAAACAGGAGGCCAAAGGGATTTCTTTTGGTTCCCAAAGTTTGATAAAAAAACCAACCTTTCTTTAATACCCCTGAATTTATTGAATGGATCACTGACCCGCAGAATTCAATACAATTTCAGTTTTATTGAGCTAATTTTAAAACTATCATCTCACTCATGCAGACAGGGCGGAAATTCCCTTTGCACTTATTGCTGCTCACAGTCATTTTGAACCCGAGGTCCTCACCTTTATAAAAAAAACTGAAAACATAAAAACACTAGTCTAAGATTCTCCCTTGAAACAATGAAAGGCACTACTGGTCAGAAACGAAGAACTGAACAAACCAAAAAATCAAAACCCCCGGCACTCGCACAGAGAGCCATGGCCCGAATTACACCTTTGTAAGTGACGGCTTGTCTTCTTTCTGTCTTGATTCTTTTCAACCTAAACGGTGCACCAAGATTTGGCACGATAAACGAAGAGAGAATGAAACAATTCCAATTTGGAATTTAATTGTTGCACTTGCAGAGAATTCTGAGAGTCAGTGATCCCGCTTCATTGGAACGCCCTCGGTAAGAAGATAGGAAAAGCTTTTCACGTTGCTTAAATTTTTCCCAAAACACCACTCACCTACTTGAGTCAGAGCGTTGTCAAGTTTCATTGTGTTATTTTGAACTATTCCTAGGAATAATAAATACATGAAAAAACCCCAGAATTTGATCACCCTGGATTTTTTTGTAGAGAACATGGCAGTAGAACAAACACAAGAGAAAACCAACAGCATAACATATGAAGTAACAAAACAATAAAAGAATGATTATTTCATGGATAAAATCTTGAGGATGAAGCCGTAATAGTCGCTCTGTGGTTTGCGAAGCCCTTACCGGAGTAAATAGTCTCTTAAAATTCCGATTTTTCAGCAGGACGTATAATCCTATAGTGTAATCTATACTGAATTACTCACAAACCATAGTGCTACCACGCTTTCCTATTGGTTAATAATAATAGTCTGTTATAGTCCTATATAATGAAAGTGCACAGATTAAGAAAATAATAAACTAAAACAACAAAAACATAAGATAAAAATAAAAATACCCATCTCCCCTGGCTTCTCACTGGAGGGTTAGATTAGCCAAACACAACCTCTGGTTCAGGAGGTCAACCAGTTCATTGAACTTGTGAGAAATTGGCTTCACGCAAAAATGAGAAAGTAGTGTATGCATCACTTTAGTGTTCAAGAAGAAGGACAGTTGATCCGACTTTTAACTTTTAAAAATGTCCTTATTTTTTGTCTTAATGCCCAAATCGTCTACAGTTCTAACCCTTTTTCGGGAAACTCAATCGGCTGTGAGAATGGACCATGTGTCGGTACTTCGTCGTCCGCGCAGAGCTATTGTAATTTACTGCAAAAATGAGAAACAGACAAATGATCAGCATTAGCATTATTGATCAATTTAGAGCAAGTGTTAACATGAGTCCACACACACACACACAGCAAAACTGTGGTTAGTCAGAGCAACAGAAGCTAACGTTAGGTAGGAGCCCCGGAGACCAGTGATATCACGTCAGGTGCGTTCATGTCTGATCGACCTCATCTATATGTTTCATCCTGCGGGTGCAGTTAGGAAGCCAATGACTCACGAGTACCACGACCATGTCATTCATAGGACAGAGCTGAAGCCACATCCCGCCACCCGGTGTCAGAGGAGATGGGTTTTTTTCTTGTGCCATGCAAGTACATGAAAAATGGGTTATGTTTTTTTTTTTAATACATGCAGGCTTACATGAAATCAGACACTAGATGCATCATGGGTAGTAAAACTCAAATGTGAAGTGGGCGGAGCCTGCAAACAGAGGTAGGAGGAGCCTTTTAGGTGGCAAGCTGAGCCAGACATTGATTTCCAACCAGATGGAGCAAAGTGGGGATTCATCATCGTTGAGAGAAGGGGGTTCTAGTTACAATCACATCTTGGGGTCTATCTACTGCTCAGTGATCCCACTGAGCCTATACAAGGGGAGAGAAGGGGTTAGGGGCTCGACTTATTTGAATCAATGTCCTCTGGTTGATTGAGCAACTAGTCTCTTCCTCCACAGTGAGTTTCTCCCTCAGGAAACTCATTTCACTATAGTATGAGAGTCAGCTCTCAGTCGGACATGTGGCTTTCCTCACCAGCATGTCTAGCTTTTCTTCTCTCCTCTCTCCTCTCTCTCTCAGGAGCTGGTTTACAACACGAGTAGTTCTCCCTCGACTACTCTGCAAACCTTTTCTCTGTCAGCGCAAACTGATAGAAACTGAATATATCGCACTTGTAAGTTAAGTGAATCACAAACGTAAGAGTGATTGACCTCCCAGGAGGCTGCATTTGTTTTTTTCTCTATCTCTAACATCCATGCTGTGTGCTGTGGCTTATGGATGCACACTCAAGCAGGGTTGACTGGTGACATTGTTCCATTGTCTGAGGCATAAAGGAACACCCCTCTCTTCATATCTGAGAGGAAGGAATACTGTAGTAGGATCCTGCAAGATTATAACCTGAACATGATCATATTAAGAATATAGAGTACAATATATAGCTTAGTAGTAGTAGAAAACTTCTAATTTGATCAATCTTGCAGGATTTTCCTCACATCAACCCTGCTTTCAGCATCATAAAGCTAATGTGTCTATGATCCACAAGCAATACATGGATTTAAACACAAGCCCCACTTATATTTTGTTCCTATTTGCGTAATGCTAGCTTGCGAGGGGTTAAAGCTATTGTGTGGATACTAAAACAGTACGTCGCTGTGTCCTCACACACCAAATTAAAGACAAAAGAAATGAGCAACCCTCCATTTGCAAAGGTTAGAAACATGACACACACATGAGGGCCCTTCACTTCAACTCTGATACACAAACAGGCAAAAAACAAATCAGGAACACAAAGTATGTGAGGACGTTACCTGACAAAAATACTCCTCATTCTATTTAAAGGGTGAATGGTGATGCTGCTGGAGCAAGCTGCTGACAGTCTAAAAGAGAGAGGGTCGTTATGGCGACTGAGCGACAAAACACAGATTAAAAACGTGAGGAAAAATGTTTTCATCCACATCAACACACAGAGCTCTCAAAAACTGAGAGAGGATAGAGGGGAGAGAGACGGAGAAGCGAGGACAGAGTGAGAGAGACACAGGACAGGGCTTTACATCAGCAGATAGATAAATATATCAAGTGTTTGGGTCGACAGGCACTTTTGCCGTGTGGTTGCTTGGTTTTCTTTGCAGATTTATTATCCAGAATAGATGCGGGTGCCTTTATTAAATTGTGCTCTTTTAGGATTTGCACCGTTTTTAAAAAAAAAAACTCATCTTTGATCAAAACTATATTGTATCTCTGTTCACAGTAATCAATATATCATTCCAACAGAAGTAGGAACCTGAGGCACCTATGCTGAAGTGCACTTAATTTGGGTGTGGAGATCGATTTGTCAAAACTTTTCTTCCTCTCTTATAATATGGCTCTGAAGGAATCCATCGCAACGTAATGGGTCACATGGAATAGATAGCCCTCCTGTATCGCACCCGACACCAAATAACTCCTCTTTTTACAATGTAGAGCCCTGCGGCACATTTGTCTTGTACCACACACCTGACAACAGAAAAAAAAAAACGTAAAAAAGCTCATAAGCGTTTTTAGCTGCAAAGCCATGCGATTCTACCAACCCTATTGTATTGGTGTGCTACGATCACAGCTTCGAAACCATCCTGAAATAAACACCCGTGGTCACAGGTGCTCCTTATCGGCCCAAAACAATTACACCAGAAAACCCACTCGCAAGTTTTTGAATTTCTGTGTAGAATCATTTTGTGCTCCCCGTGCAAGAAAGCAGAGGGAGATTGCATATTTCTTTTCTTCTTGTAAACATTTAAGAGTGACCTGATTAGACAGTGGGTGACTGGGCACAGGTCAGTCCTGGGGGACCAGGACGGAGAGGCAGAGGAGAGAAGGGGGCTTTTATTTCGAAAGGAGCACCAATACCAACGGACAAGCCGTAGAGCAGAGGATGTCATATTTAGTTACAAGAGCTTCAAATTGACATCCTCTTCACAAGTCCCCACCCCCACAATGTGTTACTGTTACCAGGCAATACACTCAGGGGGAAGAACAACCAAGCACAGAAGCGGCCGCCTTTTACATCATACGTACGGCACCATGACAGAGGAAAGAATAGACACTCCATAATATCCACAAAACCCCCAATATAACCGGGGCCCTATAATCCACATGCCATATATGTCTACTACAGTCCAAATGTCTAGTGCACACTGTACATACATCTGCATTCCCCTAAGCGTTAACACTAGCACACACGAGCAGCTGGTTAGTCACACAGCAGTCCCTAGAGGAGCGCAGGCGTGCCAGGGAGCTAAGCGAGCGAGTGGGGCTCTTTAACACTAAGGCAGGGAGGGTTCGGCCGACAGGCGCCCTCCCCTCTGTACACAGCAGTCCCTTGCGGAAATCTTGTCCGCCTCAGTCGCAGTAGATCTTGTACTTCTCGCTGCAAAAGACCACAGGGCCTCCCAGAATGCCATTGGGCACGGCGATGTTGGGCTCTGGGCGGCCGGTGCCAGAGCAGGTGAGACTCTGACTTACGTGGGGGTTGTTGATGGCAGCACTGACGGCCTTGCTGCGGGTCTTAGCGCGGCTGGCGGTGCCTCCGCGACGGGTCTGCTCGTGGTCAAACTCCAGGTCCTCCAGGCGCTGCGTCAGGGCCAGTTTCTGCTGGATCGCCATCCGCAGCAGCGAGTTCAGGGTCTTCTTCTCATCCTCTGCTGCAGCGAGCTGCCTCTGCATCTCATCCAGCTGGGTCACATACTCGTCACATCTGCAAGAGACACACACAGAAAGATGTAGAGTCAGATGTGTATTTATTCACTTTGAACTGGAAGATATATTGTGCCATCAGTAATGTCCCGTGTCACACCACCAGGGGGCAATAGCACATGCAGTAATATGAAATAGTGCAACTCAATGGACAAAATAATTTAATAATGTTCACATTTTTGCATTTAAACTATTGTAAAACTATGACCATCTCACACATACTGCATGTTTCAGACAAACACTCACTGAGACAACAACTAAAATAAAAAAAAAATTTCATCATGACCTTTCCCCTGGTTGCACAGTTGTTGGCACCACCAGGTGGCGCCCCTGGGCCACACAGAACAGATAGAGCTTCAGTTCTAGGAATTCATGAGCTGCGTCAGAGACCTTCACCAAATTTCACCAAACACAATGTTCACAGCTCATTTTTTAAATAACTTGAGCAGATATTTTGAAAAAAACAACAAAACTCCTCATCTGTCGGCATCTAAACTTCTCTTCACTTGTTCATGAACGATAAAAATCTTTGAATCTCTTTACATATTTTAAAAAAATGATATTCAGGGGTTGATATAGCCACCGTCATCAGCACTATCTGTGCTCCACAACTCTGTGTGGCTCAAAGCTCCTCTGAATATTACGAGGAAGTTAAGAATAGATAACATACACAAAGGATGAGAGCATTAACCCAGGGGTCACTGAGAAGATCCTTTGTGCGTCACCTGAGCAGCAGACTGGGGACGAGCATCAGCGAGGGGAGAAAACTGAAGATGGTGAAGAGAGGAATGTGGTTCGTGGTGCTGGGCTGTAGCGGCTCACACCTGATCCCCACTTTTCTAGTTGAAGTGAGACTGTATCACATGTGACTGGGTGCTGCACTGCGGCACTATAACCCATCTCCCTGTGCCCTTTGTGTTTGTGTGTGTGTGTGTGTGTGTGTGTGTGTGTGTGTGTGTCTGGACAGGTAGGAAACTGGGTCACTGAAATGCATTTTGGGTTTAGGGTTTCATATCTCCACACACCATCTGCTGTCATGCCCACTTTCCATGTTCTTGCCTCTGCCCTCCATCAATCCCCTTTTTCCTTTCCAGTACCTTGCTCTCTCATTCATCTCTCTCTCTCGATCTCATCCTCTCTCCTGGCTCTTATCTTCCCTATCACCCTTTCCTTCCCTCTGTCGGCCCCTTGCTGCTGTCTGCATCTTGTCTGCCTGCATCAGTCACTTCCTCTCTCTCCATCTTGCTCATCCCTATACTTAAAGTGTTTTACTGGCAAAGCAGTATGAGCGGCGTGCCTCAGTGTTGAGCAACACACCTTTATGCCTCGTTCGCCTTGTTCTCCAACTCTGCAGCATTAAAAAACATTCAGACACAGTTGAACTGGTAAGTGGCCTCACCCTGCTCCCTTTATCTGTCAGGTATTTAAGTATTTACTTTACGTGGGAACTCCTCTACCTGAATTGACGGTCTGAATAACCGCAACAAATTTCACTGAAGTGATGTAACTGTATTCCACCGTCTGCAACTGTCATTTTTCGCAGCAAGAACGAGAGATCTGTTATTGTTTCAGTCTGTGGAAAGTCACTGTCACTGCTGCACTGTAAAAACAAGTCAGTTGATTAATCTAAGATCTTGGACTTATTTCCAAAGAAAATAACTTGGATGTGAATAGTTTCAGTATTCCAGTGTTATTTCATGATTGTTCTATTTCATGATTGTTGTTCTATTTCTCAGAGATTCAAGGATCTTGATGAAAGATCTGCCACCTTTAACTCTCTGATATTTATGAGTGTGTGCAATTTGGTTCAGATTAAAGTAGAAACCCACATCTAGTGAATTTGAACTTTGGTATGTGCTCTACTAGTTTTACTAGTTTAAGCTCTTGTATTTAATAGAAATAAGTGTTGAAGGTAGAGTCTGGTCTTAAAAAGACGTAGTGACCGCAGATGTTTTTGTTTTGAGTCATGCTGCACGTGGTTGTGAGCCATGTGAACTCGGACCTTGCCAGACCACCATGCAAACATTAACCATACCCTCCCCTCTTGTGTATGCAGTTTGATTCCCAGTGGGACACACACCCAGATAATACGGATCAGTGCTGCTTCATTAAACCCAGTGTGAGGTGGGGGGACGACCTGGGAATAAGGGGGGTGGCTGGTGCGCCTGCAGACAGCTCAGTCACTCTTGTACGGGGGGCGAGAGGGTGTGCATTTTTCCCGGGAAAAAACAGAGAAGTCTATTCTGGGGACTGGAGGGATACAATAGGAGCCTTTCTGGCCTGTTGATGGGGGTGTGGAGGCACAATGGCTGAAGGGGGACCGGGAGGCAGCCAGTCGCCTTTTAGGGAATGAACACCATATTTGACAAAGAGACACTATCTGCATCCTTCTGTGAAGATTTACTTTAGACACACACACACACACAGCCTCCTCCAATCTGTCTGAAGCTTGATTGGTCACGGTGGTCATGATGGGATGGATATCATGGAGAGGGAGCAGGGAGAAAGAAGTAATAACAGAATGGAAGGAACAGTGATGGTGAGTTGGTGAGATGGTGTGTGTGTTTGAGGAAAAAACGTGACTCGGGCTAATGGTTTAGCTGTTAATCAGTATCGAGCAGGAGTTGGGAGCATGTAGAGGCATGTCTGAGGAATGTTAGAGGCAGGAGGAGGTTACTGTTAATATGACACCAGAGACTGCAGCTGGAGACACACACACACACACACATAAACACACACTTGAAAAACGTTGAGCCTGCTTCTCTCTAATGAAATCCTCACAGAACGAAAAGGACGTAGAAAATCTCAAGTAACTTTATTAATCTACACTCAGGCTGCAGCGTGAGATCACACAAAGGACTCGCACAAAAACCTGCTCATTCTTTCAATTCCACTCTTCCTCTTTGTCCAAGACCACACATTTGTATCTGAGTACTCTACACTCTCACAATTCCACTTTCACAGATTTTGTCAGAAAGGTGATTATCATGAAAAAAGAACAAAAGAAGAGAAGTAAAATTAGGCTCCTGTAGTGGGCTTTAACGGAAGGCCAGCCCCCTTCCTCTCTTTCTTTTCCAGATGGACCAGAGAACGGGTTGTTTGGATCTGAGGAAGGATGGAAGGGGGGATATAAAGAGGAGGGGGAGTGTGGGAAACCTCTCTCAGGCGAGTCCCCCTGCCTCTCAAAGAGTTCCCTGACCCAACTCTGTGCCGTATAAGACATAATTTACATACCAATGCACGAATCCCTAAAAACACACTTGAATGTAAATCACGCAGGGCGATGGTGGACCAGTGGGGCTGGAGCCTCGAAGAACATCATCATCAGGGGGAGGGGATTCATGCACGGGCCGACAAAAACACACATGATGATGCAGACGCTAAAGAGCGAGCTCCAATGTGTTGTCAATATCTTAAGTCTCTCTAGCAAAAGAGGCTTAAGGACAGAGACCCTTCACTATGGATCTGCATCGTCCATATGATCTCAAACTTTCACCAAACTCATGTCTCAAAGATGGGTGAAAAATAACATTATTGCGAGCAGGATCTGGTTCCCTTTATAGTTTAGCTTTACATCTAGAGCCTCTAACCATCTATTTTTGCAGCGCACCAACCACAGAGGCAGCAGATAGAGGGGTTATCCTCCTGATAATAGCTAATTAGACACTGCAAGCAGACTTTACTTCAGAGATGGGTATCGAATTAGTGTATGGGTAAGATGAGGGGGTGCTGAGCCTCCCACATATTCCCCGCAGCCTCAGTAACCTTCATTCTATAAAACCATCCCCTCCTTCCTCCTCCTCCTTCCCTCTGCACAGCTTGAGCTTTTCTGTGGATTGCAAAAGTCTTAAATGTCTTAAATGCAGACGGAAAGACTGTCTCTGCATCTCAGCCATCTGGACCAGAGCCGATATTTACAGGACAAGTGAAAAAACACATCCACCAAGAGGAAATGACACTCAGACTGTGGGTTGTTCATCCACTGTGGAATCGCTAAAAATCATATCTGAAATTAGATGATATTATCTTCTGTCGCTCATTTTCTTACTTTTATCAAAATTCATGCACACAAACAAACAAACAAACAGGCTGTGTATGAACACTTAGTCTATGATGTGTTTAGGGTTGAATGTGTAATCCAGACCAAGATGAGGTGGGATTATGCACGAAACCTTTGACCGGCTTCTCTTCGGAATCAGAAAAGATTAGCAAGTGTGTCAGCCCATCTGATACTCTACACACACACACACACACACACACACACAAATCAAAACACTGGTCAAAAACATGATTTAAGTGACATAAATGATACCCAGATTAAATACCTTCTGTCTGTATCGAAGCTACTAAAATCCCTTTCAGGCCGTGATTGTCAAAATCAAACAATATCCTCTTTAAGATGACATGTACATACAGTAATACAGACAGAGCCAACATATGGCGAATGTGGATTATAGTATGATAATAATCTTATTTTAATCTTACCTGGTTACATTGTTCTTGTATGATTGACATACAGTAGTTTTAGGAATAGCACAAAGTGTAATGTAATACCACTGCCCTAATCTAAAGCATATAGTCACAGTTGGGATTCATGCCTGACCGTGTGGCTGTATATAAAAAAACAAAGACTGCCTATCCAGCAATCTCTTCTGGAAATGTGAGGTGGTCAAACATTGTGTGAGGTTTGAAAGATATGTCAGGTAAATGCTTGTGAGACTTGAAAAGCAGGATCTTTTTGTCCACTAGGGTAGGTGGCGGTGTGTTCCTTACCGTGTGGCGAACATAGCTCGGAGAGAGGAAAAGGTGGCGGCGTCTTCCTTTAGCGCTTTGAGCTCGTTCCTCAGTTTCATCATGGTCTCGGTCACCATGGCCTTTTCGTTCTCGTACTTGCTCTTCAGATTGGTCAGGGCGACTTCAGCTGTCTGTGGGTGGACGAGAGGGATAAACAGGTCAGAGCAGCTGGAAGACATCGGGGGTGTGGTTCCTGTTTTAAAATGACTACCTCTGTTAATAAGAATGACCTATTTTTTTGGGTCACGTGTAAGTCATTAAAGTAGCCCTGTGCCCTGTCTTAGATACTATTGTTAGCCGCTGTTCTGTAATTCAAAGGTGTGTGGTTTATGACAGGCTTTCATGTCTGTTCTCTAATGGTCACTGAGTAACCACACACATACTTTAAAGGGCTGCTGGAGCAACTGCATACACACTGTGCCTCTGGGTTATGGTTCTTTGTGCTTTGGAGGGCTGTTCTTCAATCCTAAACACAGACTCTGGGCAGCTGACACCATCAGACTGCTGTCCCCACCAGAGCTTGTTACAGATCTTGTCTGCAGCGCATTTGCTGTAACAGCTGAATCGACCTGAAATAGCTGACACTCTTGTCGTCTGTCTCTGTCTTTCAAGGGAATCTGACAAATGTTTGGTTGTGATACCCTGTTGGTTAAAAGATATGTTGAATGTGTATAAGACCAACTGACCTGCTTATTGGCCTTGAGGACTGTCCTCAGGGTGGCAATCTGCTCCCTCTTGGTGCTGAGCAGAGATTTTAATTTGAGGATCTCCTCCATGCAGGCCTCCTTGTCCTTGTCGGCCACAGTGCCGAGCTCCAGAGAGGCCACCCTCTGGCGCGACAGCTCGGTGGTGCGGTCCACGGCTAGCTGCAGGTGCTTGATCTGGTCCCTGATGATGGCCACCAGATTGTAGATGTTCATAGGCTCGCGGCGGTGGTCAGATACAGGAGAAGGCAGGGGGGAGAATGCTGAAGGGTCGCTGACGTCAGTTTTAACAGGCTCGGGGAAGAGGCCCTTGGTGAGCAGGATGGGGGAGCGGCGGCCGCGGCCCTCCGGGCTGCTCCGACCACCCTTACCTTCCTTGTAGAAGTCGAGCATGACGCGGTTGGGTGTCTCGTTGTTGCACATGCAGACGTGGTTGTAGAGGGTGGCCAGTTCTTCGCTGAAGGTGACTAGCTCATCCTGTGCCACACTCAGGCTACCTTGTGACTCGCCTGCCACGTCGCTCAACTGAAAATACAGAGACAGAAATTAGTTAGCTGTGTTTTGGTTTCACAGTGGTTATAAAAACACAACGTCAATATCAAGCACAACATCCCACCTTGCGAAGCTCCTTCTCCAGCTTGGTCTTCGCATCTTTCTCTGCCTGACTTGTCCTCTCCAAAGTCCCCAGCTTCTCTCCCAGTGTTGTGACATCGTTCTCTAGACGGTTGCGCTCCTCATCGTATCGCGACTGACAGGTCTGGTATTCCGCCTTCAGAGTCTTAAGTTCCTCCTTCAGCTCTGCTGCTTCAGACACAGCAACCTGGCAAGGAGAGATCGATTGTGGCATATAAATAAACCAAATCTGATTAGTTCTGACTTAACTTGATTTTATGTGAATTATCTGTCAATTTAAAGCTAAATCTAACATTCTGTGCTGTCCATTATTAACTCGACAATTACCTTGTACTTGCACTCCAGGATCTCAGGTCCGTTGATGTCCACCTCGTAGTAGTCTCCGTCTTCGTTGCTATCGCGTTCTTTCTCGTTGTCTAAGGCCGACTGGCGCTCCTTGCTGGCCTGGAGCTTGCGGATGGCGCTGAGGTTCTCTGTGAGGCGGTTGACCTTCTCCTGATGCTCTGACAGAGCACCGTTAGCCTGCTCTAGCTGTTTTTGGGAGTCTTGCAGGTTGGACAGCAGGTTGACCTTCTCACGCTCCATCTGAGGATGAGAGACAAGAAACCACATACAAAGAGCACAGATTCTCAGGTTATTGCACAAATCAAATTTCACGTTTTATTTCTTGGTAACTAGATATTGGGAGGGATTCTTGCTTTGAACTCAACAGATCAAACTGATTCAGTGGATTATCTGTCATGTTGTAACTCTGCCCACTATCAGCCTTGTGCTGCCAAGGTATGTGATGCTCAGTGGCCCAGCATCACAGTCAGGTTGACCTTGACTATTTGCTGGCTTAGACATGAGGAGGCTCGTCTTTCACTCATGCACACAGCGCACAGCTGATTTAAGCACTGAGCTATTTCAGAGGTGGAACTGTAAATAATATTACAGTGTCAAGATCATTCTCATCTTCATTACTGCAGAATATAAAATTAGGATTCATTTCAAGAGGAGATCACAAACTTTGTTACACAGGTTTTAATGTTGACGACCAGTCCTTTCACATATTTACAAGTTTAACACCCTAACAACTATTCAACTCCTGCAGAATCCATTCTGAATGTAATTATAGATTTCGAAGGACTACTCAGGTAGATATCTGAGGAATCCAGATCTGGGATAGATCACTGAGAACTAAATCATTAAAAGTGATAAGGTATAGGAGCAACAGAGGAATGCTGAATGAGTAAAGGAGCTTTTTGTTTCCTGTGCTCTGATTCCTGTCAGGAATCTGTGGAATGACTTGGCAGAAGGCTCCAGCAGGCTGCTGGCTCATATCAAACATGGGGCTTTGTCACAGTCCACCTGCTTCACCAGAACAACGGTCAGGTCGAGAACCACAACAGTGCACACAGCAAGGCAGCACCAAGGTAACCTCAAGTTCACACATTAATCCAGCAACTGTGTGTATGTTTGATGAAGGGAGATGGAGAAAATCCATAATCTCCTAGTCCTCTAAATAATCATTATCCACAGGTTCCTAGTACTTTTTTGGTAACCATGGTGCCCAGTCAGGCGTAGCCCCGGACTCGTGGGGTGATGAGCAAGCAGATGGCAGGTCCTCCGGTGCCACCACCTGCTGTTTGGCGGCCCAGTCGAGCCTGCAGGGTGTGTGTGTCTCCCTGGATTAACTTTGCTATAAAGAGATTTAGATCCCTGCAACAGCCTGGGTCGGGATGGAGCCCAAACACTCCACTGACTCACTCCCTCCTTCTAACTATTGACAACCTGTTTGTTTTAGGAACAACAAACAAAGTATTTAAGGTATGATAAAATAATCCAAGGCTTCTCACCAATCTATTACAACATGAAAGTAAAATCTAGAGGAATACTTAAGGTATTCCATTTGACTCTCATTAGCCTCTTATGCTCTTTCATTCATTGATTGCTTCTTGTCTGTGAATGGATGCTGATTATTTAATGGGAGCTACTCGGGAGCACACTGTGAACATGCAAACAATGAGACAAACCTGTATCAGCTGCTGTTTGAGCTTCTGGATCTCCGAGATGTTAAGTTCGCTCAGCAGGTCGTCCACGAGGCTGGGCACAGGACAGAACAACTCTTCCTTCCTGGGCGTGGAGATGCGGTTGTTGTCAGCAAATGTGTTGGCCAGTTTGATGAAGCCGTTCTCGTATCCTTGGAGAGCCTCGTCGTTGTTTGGCTCGGTACCGGCATCGTCACTGAACTTGAGACCATCCAGAGAGATGCTCAGTGGGCTGAGGGAAAATTGAGGAAGAATGTGTCATTTAGTGTTTAATGGACAGGATGCTGCAGCTGGGAAACAGCATGTTTGTGCTCAGTTCACCTGTGATACAGACTGTCTCCGATGTTCATGTAGTGGGAAAGCTCTTTCCTAAGGGATGCTTTTAGCTCACGCTCAGTCTTGATGGTCTCCAGGGCCTCTCCTAGCTGACGCTCAGCAATCTCTTTCAGGCGGATGGCATCCTCCAGTTGGCTGTTCAGGAACTGAGTGTCCTCCTCTAGACGACGGATCTCGTGCTTCAAACCCTCAAACTCCACCTGGACAGAGGAGAAGAAGGAGCCACTTTAATGGGTTCTGTATTAAAAACAGCTAGGTGCAGCACTGATGACAATGAGCTGGCAGGCTGGTTCATGTATGGCAAACCATGAATGACATTCAAGACAATGGTAATTACGAAAACATCAAATTAATTAGCTTTATAATTAGTTTTAAGTTGATTGGATTTGGGAATCTTTATTTTAATGATCAACTAAGGAGCCGCTTTTGTTTCGTGCCCCTTATGATGAAAAAAGCAAGTTTAATCCAAAAACGACAGGGGCATACAGAGAGAATTAACAGCTCAAGCATAAAAGCCTTGATCAAATGGAAACGTCCTACTTGGAAATTCAGCTGCTTAAATATTTGCAGATATGCAAAGTACATTTCTCCCCTTTCAGCTGATTTGAATAAACAGTATGTTTTGTACCATGAAATTTTAGAATCTGTGGCTTGAAGAGCGATAGCTGTTAAAGAAACACACAAATGAACAAATTATCTCTTTACTGTACCAGAGAATGTTTTAATATCGTAATTGAATCTGAATATTAAGGGGCTCATGTTACTTTTAGCAGTCTAATTAGTATAATAAAGACTGAGAGCTGGAGTGAGGGAGGAGGAAGCCCTGTGGGGCTACAAAGATAGTAGACGTGTTTATGAAAAACAATAGGATGTGATGCCTGACGCAACCGGTTTATTAAAAGCCTGATGATTACAACCAGCCAAGGCAAATTTAATAGGAAGTGGGATGATCTTGTGCTTTCCTTCGTCTCCCCACCCCCTTCTCACTGTTTGCATGACTGAGACTTGCAACACTGCTCTGTCCTCACCTGGCTCTGTTTGAGCACGGAGACCTGCTTCTGCAGCGAGATGTTTTCCTCCTCCAGCTCGGTGTAGTCCTGCAGCAGGCGAGCCTCCCGGAACTTGTACTCCTTGATGTCATCCCGCAGCTGATTCCTCTGCAGCTCCACCATCTGGCTGTTCTGTGGGGCCAAAGGAAGGAGCGCTGTGAACACTATTTCAATCTGGGTTGAGAGACAGCGATTGATTGGCTTTTCTTGTTTTACTGTAAGCGTTTGTGTCACGATGACTCTTAAACACTAAATCTTGCAAGATAAGAAAGAGCTCCCATCTGGCCGAACCCGTCATCTGAGAGGGCGGTGCCAGGTGTCTCTCCGGGCAGTAGGCCACAAGTTCGCTTGCCTGCCAGTGATCATGACCCCAAAGAGACCAAGGACTAATTTTCTCTCCATTGATGACAGCTATTCAATGGCTAAGAAGAACTTCAACAGTCTAATTTTCTAAAGAGGGAGATAGATTAGGGTTGATTCTCTGTACAAGAGGATACAAGGACTAATCAGCAAAAATTACAGACTTGTAGAAAGTTGGAATTCATATAAATCTGAAAATTTACCAGAAAAAAGTTTCGAAAGTTTTGAACTGAAGCAACATACAAAACATTAACATCATGTTTGCAGTTATTACAATCCAGCTCTAGTTCTGTAAGTGCACTTGGCCCTGTCCTGATGTTCAGGCATCATTAATTATATAAAGGTGAGAGCGGTAAGCGACCATCCCTTCCCCCCACTCGCAGATACCGAGAGCCATAAGGATCAGATCAGCCTCACTGAGCCACCTGTGTCCCACTCCCTGATCTATTGCCCTGTTTAACCCTCTGTCCTCTTCTCTTGAGGTTTGCCAACGTCCTCCCATCCCTACATGCTGGCTCATGCTGCCCCCCATCAAAAAAAACAGGAGAGTCCCACAGGAGATTCTTGTGGGGGACATTTTAGAGAAAAGAAAAAAGCTCTGGAGTAAAGGGATAGTCACTGAAGGAGGGTGAGCCTCTCTCTCTTATTGAGCTGAGTGAACAAACATACGTGTGCATGTGTGTGTGTAATATGAGTGTCTGCGCCCTGTAGTCTCTCCGCATTAATCCTATCTCACACTCTTTGTTAATATGTGTAGATTTACATGTGTGAGACAGTAAGTATTTCTGTTGCATGGTTCGGGTTTGCACGTGTGTTCTTCACTATGTGTGTGTGATGCTCTGAGAGGAGCTGGCAGAGATAACCTAATACCATAGGGACAATTAGCCTCCCAATCCCCTGCCAGGTGGCCCCTTCCTCTCCTGCCGTCCCCACGTGGCCGCATCACAATCCCTGCTCCTGCTCTGTGATCATTTAAACCACTGCAGGAAGCAAATCCTGAGAGGCTTTCACTTTGCAGACTTTCTCATACCAGCGCTGCCTCCAGACTAAATACACATCAGTGATATTACTCATTGAAATAGAGTAGGTAATAAGCTGGTGGAGACAGGTGTTCTGATGGTTAGAAACACCTTACGGTAACTAGGTCAGCGGTTTGATCCCTTTACCTGTGATGTGCTTGACACACACTTTTCATACTGTAAATGAGCTTTAACAGTACAGAGCAATAATTCAGATTCTGTGAGATCTAACAAATTTGACTCAGGAGACTTGTAACAAGCAACAAGAATGCAATCTGTTTTTGTTACTTTCTCTATAATTGGAATTTACTCGCTCATTTTACAAAGAGCAGAATGCTCTGACAAATATTATGTTGCTGAACCCCCTGCTGATGAAGAGTACACACTCCTCATTTGCTCTGGGTAATAAGTAATCTCTATGAGCGGCGCTGAGTCGATGCTGACGTTTGAAGGTGCATTAATATTCATCAGGGTTGTGCGCATGTGTAATGAGTGTGGGCGTCTGCTGAGCGAAAGCCCTGATGTTGGTGCATTACTGAATAATGCATGAGCTAACAATACAGATCTGTCCTGCCACTAAGCCTCTATACAGTCGTCCTGACTTCTGGGAATTGATGAAAAAAATGGAAAGAAGAGCTGGAAACATGTATACCATGTTTAACATAATCTCATCAGTGGAGTCATCTGTTGTTTTTAACTCTGTGCCAGCTGCTTGGTGAGGTCTCTTCCTGGTCAGGGTTACAATGATGTGCCTCAGCTGGAGGGTCAGTGTCATTTGGTCCCGATGAATACAGGCCAGCACTAAGACTGATTAAGATCTGCCTCCAATCTGATTACAATGCATGGCAGCGTTTTTGACCTTTCACCTGGTTTCCACATCCCCCACCCCACTGCACCCCTCACAGACTGAGGGAGGTTACACTGTCCTGCTGCCTGACAAATTTGAGTTAATTCACCAGAGGTTGTGAGGGACATGTGTGCTCCTGTGTGACAAGAACATTTAATCAGGCATGGGACACACACTCCTGGGAATAGAAATCATGACGACGATGATGATGCATGTGTGTAGGTGTGTGTGTGTGTGTGTGTGTGTGTGTGTGTGTGTGTGTGTGTGTGTG